CAGCAGGTGCTGAAACCACTGAGCTAAATCCCCAGCCCTCCACTTTACTTTTAAAGGGTAAAACAGGATGTTTTTTCTTGAGATAACAGAGGAACTTAACAGGCTGGAAGTACATATGCTAAACATTTTATGTAATTATGTGTTTATTGTCTGTCTCTCTCCTCCAGAATGTAAGCTCTACAAAGGCAGGAATTTTAACTTTTTTTGTTTTGTTTTTTAACTGGAGATTGAACACTGGGCCTTTGCACTGAGCTACATCCCCAGCCCTTTTATAATTTTTGATTTCTTGAGGCAGTGTCTTGGTAAATCCTTAAGGCAGGGCTCAAATTTTCAGTACTCCTGCCTCCACCTCTTGGAGTGGTGGGATTACAGGTGTGCCCCACCCCACCATGCCTAATTGAACTGTTTTGTTCATTTATGTATCCCAGTGCTTTAAACACTGACACTGACACATAATAGATTCTCAACACATATTTCTTATGTGAATGAGTAAATGAGTAAATAAATGAATAGAAACACTGCACACATTGTATTCTCTTCCTGATGAATCTCAGATATATTACCACATTTGCAAAGGAAACATAGGTAATAAATCATTTTTCAAATTATTTCTCTGTAGAAATTTTTTAAATGGCAAGAGGTATCATATTCCATGGCACTGGTGGTTTGAGGGACATATTGTGGGGGATAGTTTTCTCAAATGCACACCATCATTCATGTTAGCAGATGGTCAGGGTTTTACATTCAGAATACCACCTTGATTTCTACCTCAGAGTTCTCAGAATACTTCTGAAATGGGAGCTGGGTGGACCTCCAGAAGAGGACCTGCTTTGTCCCTGGTCAGCTCTTGGATTTAGAAAGCCAAGGAGTTCCAGGGAGGGCAATCAGTGGAAATGACAGACTTTAGCCATGGCCTAGGAAGGAGAAACACAACCTAAGGTCCTAAATTTAATTATTTTGAATATATAGTCTCCTTCTACAGCAGTTTTTGCCTCCACATGTCTTTTTCCTCCTTGATAAAATGAGGTTGGCACCAGTCATGATGACAACACACTAGAATTGTGGAAACAATATGAGCTTTGGAGTCAGAGATGTGTGAGTGCAACAGTAGGTAAGCAATATTGATTAAATTTCAGTTTCTTCTATGAAATGAGACTTTAATATATATTTTTCAGGGTTAATGGCAGGCTTGGATGAAATAAGTAAGTGCCATTATTATTGATAAAGAATAACTTTTATATCAGCAGCAGCAGCAGCAGCAGCAGCAGCAGCAGCATCTTGGTTTTTTGAGACAGTCATGCTATGTAGCCCAGGCTGGCCTTGAATTCTCTTCCTGATGAAGAGCAATCCCCCTGTCTCAGCCTCCCAAGTGCTGAAATTACAGGTGCCCTGATTATTGCTATTATCTACCAGAATGTGAATTGCCACAAAGCAGGAATTTTTGTTTGTGTTGCTCATTGATGAAGTCCCAAAACCTTAATGCCTGCCACAGAGGAAATGTTCAATAGGTACATTAATTGTTAAATTAATTGTTACTGTTACTAAGACCTCTTCTAACTCTTACTTCTAGGAATTTATGAACCTACACAAAAGGAACTTAGGAAAGTACCTTAAATGGGAGATGGTCTTTGTATTGATATCAGACACCTTTGTTTTAAGAGCTCCGTTTCAAAACAAAACAAAACAACTTCAAGAGCTCCCCTTCACTGGGCATTGTGGCACATGCCTGTAATCCCAGCACTTGGAAAGCTGAAGTAGGAGAATCGTCATAAGTTCGAGGACAGCTTGGACTCCACAGTGAATTCAAGACCAGCCTGGAGTACATAGTGGGAAAAAAAATTATCTTTCCCTTATTTTACCTAGATATTATCTCTGTCAGGAACTAGTATACAAGGAACTTGCAATATGTAGCTATATTACATTTTATCTTCTTAACTAGACCATAACTTTTTGGAAGGCAGGGTCTGTTTTTTTTTTTTAAATCACCCTACTACTTATTACATACTACTTACTTATTCCTCCACCAAATTTGTTAGGACAATGACTGGATCTTAGGAGGTACCTAGTAAGTTTTCACAGAAATGGGATCCAAAAGAGGAAGGAGTTCTATTTACCATATGTAAAGAAAACATTGAGGATGAAGAATCAGTTATGTAGCAAACCTTTTGTACCCATTTCTAAAGCATCCTTTGCTTTCACATGTGCAACTTAATAAGGTCCTGGTTCCCTCCTGAGTTCTTGGAATATAAATGAATGGGACAGCCTATGAAAATAAGAATTATGACTATTTTAATTTTTTTTTTTAATTTTTAAAATTTTTATTTTTTGGTACTGGGGATTGAACTTGGGTCCTTGTGCTTTCGAGGCAGGCGGCAGAACCACTGAGCTAAATCCCCAGCCCTATGACTATTTTAATAATGTTTATTATTTCAATTAAAAATTATTCAGGCTGCTGCCTGCTTCGCAAGTGCAAGGACTGGAGTTCAATCCCCGGCACCAAAAAAAACAAAAACAAAAACAAAAACTATTCAGGGTTTCAATCCCTAGTACTACAAAACAAACATACTCAGGAGACGTTTTGAATATATATATATATATATATGTTCCCAGTGCTAGGGGAAAAATGACCCAGTAGGCTCTAGGTTATAGAAACAATCATGACTACAACCATTATAATATTAGTAATTATTTATATTATTAAGTATTAAATATATGTCAGACACTATTTTGAAAGATTTCCCTATATAACCTAACTTCATTCTCACAGTATGTCCAAGTATTCTCATTATTGCCTGTGTGCAGAGGAGGAAACTGAGGCACTTAAAGGTGAAGGAAGTTCTCTAACACCAGAGAGATATAACACGAGTAATCTGACTCCAACACCTGTGTTCCTATGAAACATGATAATAAATAAGGAAACATTTAAAAAAAAATTTTGAGACAGGGTTTCACTATGCAGTTTAGGCTGGCCTTAAACTCACTATGTAGCCCAGGCTAGCCTCAAATTCATGGTGATCCTCCTGCCTCAGGCTCTCCAGTCCTGGGATCACATACAGGTGTGCACCACCACGCCTGGCATAATAAGGAAAAAATTTGAAGATTATTGGTAGAGATTTTAGTTTCTTTCTTACTCTGGTCTTCTTTTACTAAAAAAATTATCTCTTCTTTTCTCACTATTATGGTCACATGACTAATTCTACACGTTTTTCTCAAGGGAGCTTGAGATATTTGGTCTGCTCTAACAAAAACATGTATTACCAAACATGCCCCCTTTTCAGTGTTCATGAAAGTCTCTTCATTTGTCTCAAATGTGTCAGTCGTACTAGCGGGGTTGAAGAAAATCAAGTTTTCTGGGAAGGACTTGGAGGTGAGAACACAAGAAGAGATCCTCAAAGCTGGAAGTTGGGAGCCAAGACGGCGCGGCTTCGTTCAGCACCAAGGATAGCGCAACAGCCACGCTCAGCACCCTGGACAGCGAAGGACGTCAGGCCTACCTAGGGACCCCAGCAGCTCTTGATCAAGAAGCAAGCGAAGCCAAAGCGGTCAGTTCCTTTTTATTTTCTGCAGCCGACCTCAGTCACCTGCTCCTGAATCCTTGGAATAGAGGTACAGGAAACAAATGTGTTTTAAGGGAAATACTAATGGGGGAGATAAGACTATTAAGCGGGAAGAATTATGTAAATAAAATGGCTTTGGCTGATGTACTCGGAGAACTCTTGAAAGGTCTAAATTATAGTGCTCAATTGGCTGTGGGATACTGCTAATGATATTTCTTAATGATATGTTTCTTTAGCCTGAGTAGCAAAGGGCCACTGTCCTCCTTTTTATTCTTCAAAGTTCTGTCTCCATTGCTTACACTCAAGTTTTAGCCTCGTGAAGAACATTCCATAGGAAAGAGGAAATAATCTCTCCGCAGTCCCTGGCTCTCCTCTCCATCTTTATCCTACCCCTGCTTATCCTCTTTTTCTCTCTTTCCCAAGTACACACGTGCCCACGCGCGTGTACACACACACAGATCTGCAGTGTAAGAACCACGAGAGGTTCTGCACACTTGTGGAGAAGATTGAATTCAGGGCAAAAGGATGCCCCCGAAAGCAGGCTCTGTCCCTTTAAATGGGTTGTAGCAGTGGGGGAGGGGAACTGGCCGGAGCTGGCATTGTCCAGTTTGAACTGAGCACCGGAAGTGAAGGGGCAGGGCCAGGGCCATGCACTGAGCCCCGGGCCATTGTCCATCTCCGACCAGGGCAGTAGCCACCCCCAGCCCACCGTCATTATCTCCTAGAAGGGAGGCTACCTCTTCAAATAAGGAGACCCCCAACTCCAGTTCCTCCACCAACCCCGCTATGAGGAGGGTACCGCACTTTAGGATGGTGACTTTGAGACAAGGAGGGTCTGGGAATCGAAGTGTCGGGAGTACAGGAGGAAGTGTCTCCACCCACAAACCCGCCCGCTCTTCCCAGCACTGGATGGGACAGGGTGGGGGTGGGGGCAGGGTGAGAGGGCAGCTGGCAAGAGGGGACACACTTCCAGCCTCTTTGGGTTCCTCCTGCTCTCCCAGGGGGCTCTACCTGGGCTAAACTTTAGACACAGATTTGGAAAGAAAAAAGTGGTCTTTATACAGATCACTGAGGAGCACTTTATTCTGATGGGGAAGACCCAGTAAAACTCTGAAACTCCGAGAGACAGAGACATTCAGTTGTAATCAGAGGGAGGAAGACTTCCAGAGGCAGCGCCTTGGTCAGGATAGATCAGTCCGGCCGGGTCTCCAGCCTTTGGCTTCCCCTTGCCCGGCTTCCTGGTGTTCAGAACTCCAGGTCTATGTAAGCACACGGGGGTAGGAGGTGAGAGCGGGTCAGCGCCCAGCAGCCGGGTCAGATCAGAGGCCTGAGGGGAAGGGGGGAGGGGCGCTGGAGGGCTGGGGGAGGGGGAGGGCTCATCCATTTCTCCCTTGACAGGTGGTTTGTGTCTGTGATTGGCCAGCGCCACCAGGCTCACACCTCCCTCCCCCAACTCTCAGGAATGTATAATTATCTGCTCGGGGGTGGGGGTTGTGTGTATGTGTGGTCACGTGGTTTAAAAACTAGCGCCCCCGTCCCCCACCTGTATCAGCTTTGGGGATCCCCACTGAGTCCTTAAAGTGCATGACCCAAATTGCGGGGTACCCAAGACTTCTGGAGCAGACGACCCCCATCTCCAGATATGTGTATGTGGAGGGGGTGTCAAACCTCAAGGTCCTGACAAGGGACACCCCGAGGTGTCAGAGACCGGAGCGGTGGGGGAGGGCCGGAGCCGGAGGGAAAGGGAGGAGAAAGGAGAGGGAGGGGAGGGGAGGGGAGGGGGCTGCCCGCGGGGGGTTGGGTCATTGTCTTTTAGAATTTGGGAGCCTTTGAAAAGCCGTGGGCCCTCCCACCGCTATTGTGCGGGGGAAGATGTAGCAGCCTCTTCTCCTAGCCACCCCTTTGCCTCCGGACTTCACTGGGGCTAGCAGCCGCCCGACCAAGGGCCCGGGGCCACGGGCTCAGCGGACGACCATGGGCTCAGTGTCCAACCAGCAATTTGCAGGTTCGAGCAAGGGACTTAGCGGGGGTACCTTAAAGTGCAGGGCGCCGAGGAGCCACGTAGGAGGGAGGTGGGGAAGTGTCCCCCGGGCTGCCCGCAGGACCCCAAGTCCGTGCGGCCTCCCTACTGGGGCCATATCTGGACCAAGGAACCCAGGTGTCCCAGTGGTGCTCGGCGAGCCTTCGGGGGCGGAGGGAGAGAAGAGGAGGGGCCTGTCCGGCCGTCTGTCCCCCGGCAACGTGTTGTGGAAAGAGGAGCAAAACTTTCGGGGCACCACTGGCCTCGATGTAAGCTCGGGGAGCGCGGGAAGCGGCCGGAATAGGTTTCTTCTTGCCAGCTGCTGGGTTGCTGCTCCCTCTTGGGTGTCCACCCATGGGCTGGACACTGAGGTCTCCTGGGCCGGTCGCTGAGGGGGCCCTCCGACTCCGTGGCCCCCCAGCTGAGCGCCCGGCCCTTCCAATCTCCAGGTGGCTGCGCCAAGGCGGCGGAGAAGGCGCCCGAGGAGGCGCCGGCGGACGCAGCCCGGGAGGCTGACGAGCCGCAGCTGCTGCACGGTGCGGGCATCTGTAAGTGGTTCAACGTGCGCATGGGGTTCGGCTTCCTGTCCATGACCGCCCGCGCCGGGGTCGCGCTCGACCCCCCGGTGGACGTCTTTGTGCACCAGGTGAGACTGATTCTGCTAACTTTGCTGAGGAAAAGGGGGCCTAGGAGCACATATGCACGGTGGATGAGCGGGTTCGGGTGTTGGATTGAAGATCAATGCGTCCCCATCTTTGTCGGGGCACCCCAGTTATGAGTCCCTGTTTACTACGGGGCGAGTGAGAGGCAGCACTGATTATCAGCACCCCCTCCCCCTTCCGGGAACCCCTCCAGCTTACCACGTGTCTTTTACCTCTTTCCCCTGGGAAGGGGGCAGGGGGCAGGGAGGTGACCCCGTGTGGCAGAAACTAAGGTTGTATTGTGCTTGCCGGTGGGGGGAGGGCGAGCAGGCCGGCCAGGGAAGCACATGCCGGGCCTGAGCAGGGCGCCGAGCGCTCAGCGCCTTTAACGTCCGAATGAAGCTCAGAGGATGAGAGAGTGCCGGGAACTGGCCCCGGGACCCAAGGACAGAAAACTGAGAAGTCAGCCACGTACCCAATTTAATGCAGATCTCATCCAGGTGGTGACTCAAAACTCAGTGCCTGGGGACCAAGTTGGTTTGGCAGATCCCCAAAAGATCCAGTGGGAGTCTTGAAAGCACCACCAGAGCATTCCTTACAGTTCAGGACTGCGGCCTTTGCTGTCCAACTCCAGCCGGGAAGGAAAACCTTTGAAGGAGGCCAGGCCTCAACATTCCTGGGCCAGGCTAGGACACAGTTAGGTCAGTGCAACCCCAAGTTCTCAGTTACAGCAGGGCAGCACAGTGGGGGTTGAAATTCAGTGTCGCAGGGCAGGGGTTGGAGGGCAGCTGGTCTCGGGACCTATTCTCCTCAGCTTGGCATTTATGGCCCCAGACAGCCATTGATTGCTGTCCTAACATTCCTAGCCTCAACTGAGGAGCCAGAGACTTAGAATCTCCCTCCTCCCAGGCTTCCCCTTCCTCAGTATCCTAAAGCCATTCATTCCAGTGGCCCTGAAACACCACCTATCACGTAGTAAAGTTGCTGTGTGTGTCCCTTCCACATTTGGTGGCTTAGGGCTGGACCTGGAAAGAAGAAATATGTAATCCTAGGCTCTGTAGGTTGACACCCCAGCCGGGCAGGGAGGGGTTACTTCTGGGAGGTTGGCTTTGGGAGCCATGGGGGAGGGGAAAGGAGGATGTGGGGATTAAGGGTTGGAGCCTGAGGGATGGCATTCTGGAGGGGGAGGGGTGGGGAAGGGAGATGCTGGGTGGATTGGTTGGAGGCTACAAGGAAGTCTGTGCACAGCAGAGGAGATTCTGGAGAAACTTGAGATAGAGGATGCAGGGAGATAGGGACCCAGAAGTCACTACTACCGACACAGGGTAACTGGTGCTAGAACATCTGCCAAAAGGGGGATGCTTAGCTACCCTCATGCAGCCCTCTCATCTATGCCCCCCCCAGCTAGTTTCGGCTGGTGGCTTTGCCCTCTACTCCCTATCTCATTTACATATGTGAATGATAACCCACAGGAAGTAATTGTGGGAGAAAGAAGGGAATTGGCCTCTTTAGATCTATTAAATCACTTTATTACAGGAACCAGCTTTGAATGGCCCTCCTCAGCAGGGTGGCAAGTCTCCCCTACTCTCCCATTTATCTAATCACAAAGAGATTAAAATCTTTCCCGGTCTGGAGACAACTGGACAGCTACCTCAATTTTGGGAGGCTGGAATAAAAGTCAGATCCAACATTTTCTTGTCTCTCCCCCAAAGCTTGCTAAGTAGAGAGGGGCTGAGGGGAATGTTATCACCTGATCTTCTGGGCTTCCTTGGATATAAATCCCAAGGAAGGTTTTTTTTAGCAAGTGGTGATCTGTGCCTCAGCCAATTTACCCTTAGGTTTCAGAGCAACTGGAAAGCTATTACATGGCATGGAAGAGACCAGAGACTTTCAGGATGGACCAGGTGGAGACTTTCTGGACTATCTGGTTTTAGGATTTCCAGAGACCCACAATTGAATAACTTACCAGGAAGGAGCTGACCTGGAATCAAGAACTTGTCACCCTAATCCTCACTAACCAGCGCTAGTCAGAGAGGATGGTACTGGTCTGTATGATAGCATGGGGCTGAAGCTGGGACTGAACCACACCCCACTTCAGCAGTGAGTTAGGTTAGTGATTTAAAATCTCTCTGAAATCTAATGACAGAGGAATTTCCTAAGTGCAGGATAATCCCTAAGAACTGTTTACTGGGAGAGAAAGTGTTTCTAAAGTAGAAGTGTTAAAAAATCTTTAACAAAATGTCTCATTCTTTAGTTACCAGTGGTGGTTACCCTGGGAATAGGGTGGTAAGAAGGGTAATTGTTCTAAGATAACATTTGCCAGGGAGAAGGCATGAGGGAGCCCCTTTCCAAGGAAAGAAGACGGGGAAAAGTAACTTTAAAATATTGGCTTTTGTCTTCCAAAGTTGGGCTTGTAAGGTTCCCAGCGCCCTCTTCCAATTTTATTACACTCCTCCCAGGAGTGGATAGTGTGAGAAAAAGCACAACCCACTCCAAAGAAAATGTCCAAAAAGCAAAATGATTTCTGTAACACTTCTCTTATTCAGTGACAGATCTTTAGACCTACAAATCTCTGTCTCTGGAGTTAGGGGGATTTTAAAATTATGGCAGATTGCCAGCCCCTAAATCAGGTGTCTATGCCTTGGCACTACTGACATATTTTGAACAGGTTAATTGCTTGTTCTGAGGGGATTATAGAATGTACAGCAGTGTTCCTGGCCCCTACCCCCTAGGAGCCAGTTGTATCCTTCAGTTGTGACAACCACAGTGTCTCCAGATAATTGCCAAATGTTCCCTGGGAGGTAGTCACCCCTAGTAGAGAAACTTACTCCGAAAAAGCTGGAACCAGAAAGAGCTAAAACCCTGTTCTGTTTTGTGAGTTTCACCATGAATGCTAAAAATCCCATTTTAAGCCAGGCTGAGAAAGGAGGATCTCTGAAAGTTTGAGGCCAGCCTGGGCTACAATGTGAGTTAAAGGCTAGGCTGAACTACACAGTGAGACCCTGTCTCAAAAGATCAAAAATAAATAAAATGAGATTTTATTGTATTTATTTAACAACTTTGGCTTCACTTGTGTTTACTGTGGTTCAAAACCCAAGCTGCTGGGCTGGGGATTTAGCTCAGTGGATCCGGTGCCTGCCTTGAAAGCACAAGGTCCCGAGTTTGATCCCCAGTACCAAAAAAAAACCCCCAAACTGCTAAGATTTGTAGAAATTTGGAAATAAGAAAAATTTCCGGTTTTTCCATCATAGTACAGCTCCTTAGAACCCAAATGAGTAAAGTTGCTTTCTGGATAAAATGCTCTTTTAGAATCCTTGAAAACCAAAAGAAAAGCCCATAGTTGACTAAGGAAACAGTTGGTGGTTAGGAGAAAATCTTTTCAATATTGAGACAGAAATTGAAGCTGAAATTGCTCTGAAGCCATGTGGCCTGTTGCTTTTATGGAAAGAGATGAGCCAGGGACAGCAAGAGCAACCTCCTGACTCCTGAGGTCTAGGTTAGGGCTGCTGGCTGAGGGGGACCAGATAGGATCTTTCCCACCTGGTTTACTACACTGCACCACTGATGGTTCTTTTTTTTTTTTTGGTACCGGGTATGGAACTTGGGACCTTGCCCTTGTGAGGCAGGCGGCAGAACCACTGAGCTAAATCCCCGGCCCCGCTGATGATTCTCTTGATGCCCAGTTACTAGTGTGCTGCTTGTTTTATACTCTCCTAACCAATTTGTATGCTCTTTGGAGAGGGGAACTTAGATATGTGGGTAGTTTTCTACTGTACCCTTGTGCTAAAATGAAAAGTAGGGCCAGGGATTTCACTCAGTGGTTCCGCCGCCTGCTTAGAAAGCGCAAGGTCCCGAGTTCGATCCCCAGTACCAAAAAAGAAAAAGTAGAGGAATTTTTTGGGGGGCGGGGGAAGGATAGTACTGGCAGTGGAACCTAGGGCTAGGCAAGCACTCTACCATGGAACTATACCCTGACCTTGGACTATGAGGAATTATCAATGAGTTTTACCAAGGCAATTCAAACATTCCTAAACAAACAGTTACATTCCCCCTTCTGGAATTCCATAATTTTTGGAGAATCTGCCCTAGGTAAAGCTTATACCTCACTTCTTTGTGCAGGAATAAAAAACAATTCTGAGTAGTCCCAGTCTGGGAGGTGGAAGGAGCTAGGGGAGGAGAGTAGTACATAATTTTTAACACAGTCTCGGGTGGAGTTACTTATTTCAGACAGGAAACCAAAGTTCAAGGAGGGCTGTAGAGAGCCAGGTACTGGGTTTCTGGCATAAAACTCCAGGAATCTTTTCAGTCCCACCCTGCACCCCTTTAGTGTGGAGGTGGTTGGGGGTAGGGCAGGAAGTAAACACCTATCTCCTTCTCCCAGAGGGTAAAGGAGACAAGATGACCCTACTGAGGATCTGTGGAGATAAGGCTCTTAAATGTGTTCACAGTTCAGAACCTCAGTCCTGCCTGGTCTAGCTACCTCTGGCTTGTCTTGTGCACACAGGCAGATGCACAGCACCATCTGGTGGAGAACTGCAGGTAGGAGCCAACGGCTGCTGTTCAAGAGAGGTGATGGGGGTTGGCTTCCAGTAGTGTTTGGTTCTGGACCTCTTTATTCCGTCCTCCTTGGCACACACACCATCAAATAAACTGCTTCTGGGTGAATTGGGTTTCTAGCCCCCTACAAAACCCTACTACCAGAGGTGATTCTGGCAAACTCTAGGAATGATGTTTGGATAGGGCTCTGACACCACAGGGTTGAGTCATTCAAATAACTCTCATGTGCTTCTTTTTACGTCTACAGAGTTTAAAATTGTATGTGACTTGCATTATGAGGTTGTGCTGACTTAATTGAGTCAGGCCAACTGCAATTAGCCCAGCTCTTTTCCTATCACTATAACACTGGTCAAGGTGCCCTTCACCTCTTTGGTAGGCTGAACATGGGGGTCATAGTAATACCACATAGGTTTGATACGAGTGTTAAATGAGTTATACCATGCAGAGT